AGTCAGGATGGTATTATATCTGTGCACACCTTTATTTTCAGTGACAAGCCATGTTGTACTTCTACAACTGCTGTAAACATGCCATGACATGGATATGGAGGTAAACGGTGGGAGATGGGTGTGGTCAGAATTATGAAAAGAAAAAAAAAACAAAAACAGTAAGCAATACAGAACTAGTTTAGCAGGAAACCAAGTTGAATCAAGCACTGAGGAGATACTGTTTTGCAGAAGGACAATATTCAGACATCTGGTAGTAATAATTAAAAATATAGTGAAAATGACAAACTGCTTATTGTCATAGAAGGAATGTTTTAGTTGAAGGTGGCGAAGGAGACTGTTTCCATTAATAGGTTCATATTTTCAAAAACAGTAAGCAATACAGAACTAGTTTAGCAGGAAACCAAGTTGAATCAAGCACTGAGGAGATACTGTTTTGCAGAAGGACAATATTCAGACATCTGGTAGTAATAATTAAAAATATAGTGAAAATGACAAACTGCTTATTGTCATAGAAGGAATGTTTTAGTTGAAGGTGGCGAAGGAGACTGTTTCCATTAATAGGTTCATATTTTCAACAACAATTACTCAACAGGCAGACGTAAAAATAACAAGTCTTGCTTTTTTAATTTCAACAACAATTACTCAACAGGCAGACGGAAAAATAACAAGTCTTTTTTAATCTGAGAATATTATTTTAGTCATTTGTCAAGATAAAACATCATCAATTTGAGGGTTCCTGCTACTATAATGATGCTGCCCATATAATTAATTAGTTTGGCCCAGTAGTGGGTCACATGACCTATCTTACATTCTTTTTCTTTTTTTTCCATTTTAAACCTTTTAGACTATTTTCTACTATGTATTAGCAATATTTTACACAATTTTCTCTACACATTCCGGGTGATATTGCCTTCGAATGCTTTTACTAATGTTTACGTTTTAAGCTTAATTTTCCTCAAAGAAAAAAATAAAAAATAAAAAAATCTCTGTAATCACACACTGTTGACAGATGGAATTGCAAAACCAATGTGCCCACCTCTCACCATAAGGCACTGGTTTCATTTGCCAGCAGCAAAGAGTCTCTAACCACCATTGACGAGGCAGACCACTCAATCAAACCACTAAGGTGTGTTCAGATTAAAGACCCAGTCAGATCGCAGACACCCTGTGGCAAAGATATACCAAATCATTCAATACCGAGAGTATCAAGTAGTTTCCAACTTACTTCTTTTGGAAAGTAAGTTGGAAAGTACTTGATACATGATTTCAGCATCCTCAGATTTTTGGAAATATCATTTGATATTTGGACAGCTTTTAGTAATTTTCTGTCCCATTTTAGGAATATTGGAGCTTAATTGAGTTTGGCTAATTGTATAAGATGCTTTTTAGCATTTGATAACATTTAGCTTACTTTAATTCAATGTTTTGCAGTAGATCTACTGACTTTTGACACTTTTTGCTATGTTAACAAAACATTTCCTTGCATTTCACAGTAAATTCAATGAAACTAAATGTATATCTCAAAGACTTCTATACAGGTTTACAGCCACTTATAATAATAAAAAAAGATCTAAGCATGATGTAATGAATTACGTGTTCATTCTCACATCACTGGTTCATGTCATAACTCGTGTGAAATATTCCTTCTGACAATTATCAAACACCACAATCTAAAAACTCTGGTCGTATTCATTCAACATAAGAGTGTTGTTTAAACAAAGAGCAGGACAATATCCAACAGTGAGCCATAAATCAGCCACAGTCCCACATGCAGCTGAGGCAGGACCACCAGAATGTGTTGAGAGAAAAGAATAAATTTGGTTTTCAGCAGCAGCTCTCAGGGTCTGTGTGGTCAGATACTGCACAGTTGAGTTCCCGTGATACTCAGCTGCCATAACAAACCAAAATGAAGTACTTGCTCAATCAAGTTATATACAAACAATAAATCCAAACACTGAACAGGCCCTGAGTTTCATTCAGTCACAACCCAACAGGGTTCAACTGTTGACACAAACAAACCTCAGATAAAGATCTGACCCCAGATAAATAGGGTCAAATTCTGATTCTTAGGTCTACAGTGCTTCGTGGTTACATCGCCACTGATGCACAGTGTTAAAATGATGATGACATAAGACGTTAGCACTCTGTTAGTGTCGGTGAGTGATATATACTTATGTGAATTCAGACTTATGGAGAAAAAAAGAAAACTTACGGCAGAATTCTACAGATCCTGTATTTAGTTGTTCATTAATATTCATTGTAATTAAATAGAACAGATTTTGGTCATCTGCATAGAAATATCTTACCATACGAATATGCTCTCAGCTATCAAAATATGCTTCTTTACACCCAGTTGGATACACTCATAAACAATCTCCACATGTTTCATTATTTCCTTATCAGCTACACAGAAAGCCAACTCCCTTTGGCATTTGCGATGGCAGGCGCCCATTCAGGAAGTAGGTTATTGTTTTGCTGTTGGCAAACAAGCCAACAGTCCCAGATAGACAAATCCTATAATAAATCCTCCGTCATAATGAATCATATTACTGTTGTAACGCACAATTTAATTAAATTATTTTCCTGACAGCAAAACAAAGATGACAGAAAATGTACAACAATAATAAAAAACCTGATGATAGACGAGATGCACAACACTGAGCGCAGGTCTCCACTGTTCTGATTGGTCACACTGCAAACAAAGTACCTGTTGTTGTGACCTCTCGCCTCAAGTGCTGTTACTCTACACGACATGAGTGCAGTCAAAAAAATTGCCCCTCACACAACAGACTGAAGCTTTTGTGTTGTGATCTGTTCAATCTAGACCCAACAATCTGCCTGTGGTCGCCTGAGGTGATCAGAGAACCATCGCTAGGTGCTTATGGGAAATTAAATAGGTCCCAATGAGAAAAGAAATGGTGGAAGGAAGAACAAAAGAGTTAAAAAAGTATCAATTCCCCCGTTTTTTTTTTCAGCCCTGAACTGCCTCTGCGATTCTAGGTCAGTAGTGGCTTTTAACAGGTGTGATTTGAGCGTGTCAGGAGATTTGAGCCACTGAAACGCTCCTCGACCAGTAGACAAAGGCGTGTAGCTTTTGTATTGCTCCGTAAACAGTTGTAGCTCATAAACAAGGTCAAACAGGTGAGTGTCTAGTGTATTTTATAACAGTCAGAGCTGTAGAATAACCGATTAGACAAGAGTTAACTAAAAGGGAGTCAGCAAAAACCTAATTTGAAACTAAACAAATAAAAACTTATCAAATGAACTGCTAAAAGACAGCCACAGGACAACGAAAGGTTACACTTAACATTAGCTCCTTAAAAGTAGAGCCACAGTAAAAGATGACACAAAGTAGCTTAGGTTGAGAGACAGCTAATAGGTAAACCATAAAAAAACTACCTAAAAGAAACACTTCATAGTTGGCCATCAAAGGCACAGTAGAAACTGGTGATGGTGTATCTCCACTGTAATGACTCAGCAGGTATAAAATGACACGACAGTAAGTCACTGCAGGATGGTGATATTATGGGCAGCCTGTGCATAAAAAAACAATGCTTGCAGCCACAAATTCCCAAATAGTGTAGTGTAGTTTAGTGTAGTGGACCAGTGTGAACATGAATGTAGATGTAGCCCAGCCTTCATTATACATCGTCACATCATAATGACATGTCTACCATTTTTAGCCGATTTATAAATCACTCACACAGACAACAAAACAAAACAAAAACAAGGATGATTAGTGGTCATGCTAACACAATGACAATAATTAAATATTGCAGCAATCGGCATTTTGGCAGAACATATTTGGACATGTCAAAGTAAAATAACTGCAATAATAACAGAATCATTTGGAAAACAGCAAGTTAGCACCTGCGAGTGATAGTTTTTCAGAAGGCCAGCAGCGTTGATTTGGGATCTACTGAACTGATGTCTTCAGACAGTGCATCGTTTTCAGTAACAACAGCTGTAATGTCAACAAGTTGCAGGTAGTGGGGAACAGTGCACAAAACAACAGACATTAAAAACAGCTTTGCGCTAACGCATCACCAACTAAAACCAGAGCTTCATCCCTTCACCTTCGCTTAGCATCTGCAGAGATGTGACTCCGTCTCTCCAACCTGCAGCAGTGGAGCTGCCACCGGGACCAGGAGCACAGCTCACACTGCAGAATGATAACATTGACCAACCACCAGTGGAGCGCAGGCATGTGTTGTGATTGAAATTCCACCGGAACAAAACCTTGTTTGTGTGTGATTTTACTTCTTAAACTTACAATGAAGAGACAAATCCATTCCACATGACGCCTGCATTGTTTTTACAGCCAAACATGCAGCCGGCCCCACAGGCGCTGCAGCCTCTGTACAAAGAACCCAACAAATAACAAATATTTTGAATGGAATGCTAAATATGTGCATTGTATTCAGATTGTTCAAGCATGAACTCAGGCAATAGTAACATTTGAACAGTTTTAGCTGTAATTTGGTAAAATTTAAGTAAAAGTTTGGCTTTAGATTGTGTTATTTTTATAGTTTAATTCCGTTATCTTGACTTGTTGCCTTTGAGCAATTTCTGGGTTAACATTTAGATATTTTAGCATATCTCTTGGATAGTTTTATTTAACATTTGTTTTCTTGCCATGTTTTTTGCTGCACTTTAAAAAAAAAACATTTTTCACTTTTTTTTCAGCAATTCTCTAAAGCTTAGTGCTGCTCCATTGTGCATGAGGCTCTCTGGAAAAGGTGTGCACATCCTGTTTGGAAGACATAGACATAGTTTACACGGTTCTAAAACACTAGACATCAATTAAACAGCACTCTGTTTCCGTGTAGCAAATTCACGGGAAAACAGAGTCATACAGATACCTTTCAACAGGTGAGAAAACAACTCAGAGTTTCCATAAACACGCCTGGTGCACAGAGTAACTAAGGTCACACTGTGACAACAAAACACCTGTGCAGAAGGGAAGTGAACGCACAACCTCCTCCTCCTCTGTGACTCACCTCGATCCATTTCTGCGCCTCCTGAAAGGCAGCGTCTGCAGCAGCAGTGGACTCAGGACCATGAGGATGAGGATGGTGATGGGAATGATGAGAGTGTCCTATGTCTGAGAGCGGACTTGCCATTGGCGAGTTTTAACTGAGGTCTTATTTTGAGCCTCTAAATGTTGCGTAAAAGCAGCGGAGCGCTGACTTATTTCCACAGAATGTCGTAGAAAGGAGGCAGTGTTTTTCCCCCTTTGCCCCGCCTGGATGGAGGTGTAGCAGCAGCAGCAACAGCCGGGGTGTTAGTGAAGGCGGACCAGCAGCTGCAGTCTCCGGTGCACACTCCTGCTGCGAGTGCCTGAATCAGTCATGAAAGGTCAAACTGCAAAAAGACACAGAGAATGCTTCCGGTGTGCCCCTACAAAATAAGTGTATATTTAACTGTTTTTCCACACTCCCCACATTCCACCATTCCCTTCGTGTTTGTATCTAAACATGAAACCACAAATACAGATAAACAACTATTCGTATGCACGCTCATATATATATATATTTATTGAATGGTTTGGAAAGTGGGTGGAAACCTGAGTACCAGGAGCAAACCTACACATATGTGGAGAGAACATGCAAACTTCATAGAGGAGACCAGTATTAAACCGATTTTGTTCTTAATGTAAGACAACAGCATTAACCACTCTTCCAACAATCAGTCTTTATGGCTGCGTCCCCCCCGCCCATGCAGGCTCCATCATTGTTGATTTGTTTATTTGTTATTTATTTTTTACTCATCATAAAGTTGTCTACTTTTAATTTGGTAAATAAATATGAAGGGTTTAGATATTTAAAGGGATATATTAAAACATTAGCATTAATAAACTATTTTCAATTACAACAACAATGGCTATAGTAAGGCCTAAATTATTGTTTTGTTAAAATAGATTTTCTTTTGGCCAGGCATAACCTCCACTGATATTGTATAAACATAATTCATTTTTCTTTTTTACGTTTCTCTTTCCTTTATTCTTTTCTTTGAGCTCTTGTTTTGGCTATAAACTATTTCTGTTTCCTGTGTGGTGCAGCAGCATTTTGTGAAATTGACGCAGACAGACTGACAGCATGTATGTACTGTATGATCTGCCTAAGTGGCAAAAATACACAACGCTGTTCTACGTGCAGTGACCAACAGAGGGCGGCACAACAAACTTCTACCTGTAACATTCAGTAATCAGAAAATAAATTAAATTAAATAATATAGTCAAGGTCCAAATAATGAAGGTTTGTTGTGTAAGTCTGTAACCACAAAAACAAACAAACAAACAAACAAATCCCAAATCACTTCTGGGTAACACCCTTTTTCAAGTTTTTAATTCTTAAAGTTGTGTTTAGTCTGTCTTTTTCTGTAATTGTCCATGCGATTATTGTTTCATTTTAACTTGCAGGATTGATTTGATATTTTTTATATCATACATTTTCTCGTTGAATTTAAGAATATGAAAGTATATGCATGTGCATCTAATGTCTGTCAAAGTCAGTAGAGTTACAGCAGAACATGTTTTACACAAGTTCTCAATTTAAAAAGTGAATGGACAACAACACGGCCTTGTTGTTCAGTGATTGTGTTGCTATGGAAACCTTAGGAGACATTATTAGACTTTGATCTATTAGTCTCCTCGTATGAAAGACAATATATTGTGTTTGTGTTTTTTCGCCATTCGTCGTTATGTTTTATGCATACACTTGCTTTTAATCTTTGCTCAACGCTGCTCCGGATTTTTTTTTTTTTTTTGCATCTCTGCTTTCCTCTAGTGGACTAATGTAGCAGTACTTTGGAGCAGGAAAAGGAGGAGCTTTGTAACAGCAGGTCGACTTTGTATCCCAACAAGACTGCAGTTACTCGTCCACTCCTATCGACTCTCGCTGTTTCTTTTTCTTTTTTCTTTTTTTTTTTTACTGTTTATTAAATATTTCCTCACACATGGATTTGTTGTTTATAATGCAAATCTCACTGAGGGAACCTACAGTATTTATGCGATTCTATTGCAGCACCGGGTAGTTTGTTTATAGAAGTGCTTGAAGCTGAGAGGTCATTTCCACCTGTGTTTGACAGAAGTCACTCTGAACCTGGAGCAGCAGCAGGGCAGCTGGGCAAGTACCACAAATTGTGTTCCTTATTTATTTATTTATTTTTTTTTGTAATTAAGTTAGCTCATAGTATATTTCCAACGTTTTATTTTAATTATTTTTTTTTAGCTGAGACAATACAGGAAGTCTGGATCCAGGGTTGGCTAATGTGAGAGGACACATGAGTTAATAAAGTAATAAAGGTTTGGAATAAACTAAGACAATTATATGTCCACATGCACCGGATTTCATAAAAAAGTTAATGTTAACTTTTTTTGGGGGGAGGAAATAATATATAGATATATATATTAACGGATAAGAAACATAAAAAAGAAACAACCTGAAAAAACAAACAGCATAGATAAACATTAACT